TGGCGTACTCATTCTGTTTCCGTAATGGCTCATTTTCAGAAATTGAAGCCAACATTTTCTTTTTCAAATGGGACACTCTGTATATTTCTTCACATTTCGATTCAGAATTTTTTTGGCTTTCCGAAAATATATAATAGTTGACATTTTTCTATATTATTGATGTTTTAATTCAAATATATTCTTTTACTATGCGTTTTCGCAAGTAGCCCGTGGTGACTCAGTAGAAAACAAAGTTGTTTATAGCTGTCAATAGTTGTTGACATGAACGCTTATCAAGCTTTCATGCTATACTGTTTTTTCAAAGATATGTAAGTTTGATTCATACAATGCGATGAAAACTCACATAATGCTTCAGAATTATACTCCGATAGGTATGTTTACATAAATTATTTGTGCTTATAAGTATGAAGTTATATATCTATAAATTATAATTACTGATATGGGTATCAGGAAAGGAGGCAGTCTTCTTCTGATACTTTTTTCCGTGTGAAGACAAATTTATTAGAGTATGGAGCTTTCAAACAGCCTCGACCAAAACTCTATCACAAAGGAAATCGTGAAACGGACGAAGTCAACGTTTTAGCTTTCGTAGAAGCAGCGCCATCAAGTTCATGTCGAGTTATTGAAAGATAAGCCGGTGTGGTCAAATGCCGGGTACAGAAAATTTTGAAGAAAAATAAATTCACACCATATAAATTACAAATCGTTCAGCATTTGCATCATGGGGATGCGGGACGTCGATTAATTTTTTGTAATTGGTATATGGAACAAATTCGAATGAATATTGATTTTTCCCAATCAGTAATATGGTCTGATGAATCATATTTTTCGAGTGCAGGCATCTTCAATCTCCAAAACATCAGACATTGGTTTCAAGATAATCACCATGTTATATTTGAACGAGAACAGCAAGGACGGTTTGGCTTCAGCGTGGCTTGTTTCATTTTGGGTAGAAATATAGTATATCGGATTTATGAAGGAGGTCTCACTGCAAACCGTTACCTAGAAATTCTACGAGATGTTTTGCCAGAGCTGCTGGACAATATCCCTCTGGCTCAGTTGAATGATATATATTTTTTGCCTGCCGACAATTCTCAAATAATATGTCAATTTCTAGAAATTAATTTTCCCCAACGATGGATAGCCACTAATGGACCTATAAGATGGCCTCCAAGATCACCAGATCTATCAGTTTTAGATTTATTTTTATGGGGTTTTCTGAAAGACAAGATTTACAAGTCTCAACATCGTTCTATGGAAGAACTTAGAGCAGCCACGCCTTCTGCTTTCCGATATTTGCGGGGCCGTCCATATATACTCCAAAATGCCCTCAAAAGAATCACGAAAGTTTGTGAAATTGCTATAAGAGAAAACTGTAATCATTTTGAACAATATTTATGATAATTGGAAAAGACTTTATGAACATGTTGATAGTCAAATTTTGAACCACGGCCTACTTGCGAAAACGCATAGTAAAAGAATATCTTTGAATTAAAACATCAATAATATAGAAAAATGTCAACTACCTATTATATATTTTTGGAAAGCCAAAAAAATTCTGAATCGAAATGTAAAGACATATACAGGGTGTCCCATTTGAAAAAAAAAAAGGCTTTTATTTCTGAAAATGAGCCATTACGGAAACAGAATGAGTACGCCGCTGTATTATGCGTGAAAAGTTATACAAGGTCCCGTTCTCACCTTGCCAATAAGTTGGATACTAACCAAGATACGGTAGGTGCTCAAAAAGTGAGAATTTTTTATTCCGCCCTGTATCCCAAGAACATGGAGAGCTGTGACAATTCTGTTTGCGGCATTGTCCGTTTCACAAAAAAGTAAGACAGTAATGTGAGAACCGCAACTCTCTATCTCCAAAGACAACTGAGATATCGCACAAAAGCATCGAAAACTGGACACACTGTGCACTCGAAACATTATACATTATACACATTCCTTCGCAAACTGGTAATGAAGGGGGATTCAGATTTTATTGCACATTCTGTAGAAAATATCAGAAGAGCTTAATAAGATTAGTTTATACGAATGACAAAAAGTTAACTCTGTTGGGACGTCTTTATGATCTTCAGTAATATACGTCAATATGACGTCATGAAACATGACGTCATTTTTAGGTCCCTCGAAGTCGACTGACCTGTGCTACCTGGGAAATTATGTTACAAGTGTTATACACGTCATTTTAGTAACGAGTATTTTGAAAACGAGCGCTGCAGAGCGGAGCGAGTATTAATATAACCTATCTATTAACCTACAAAATAATTCGAAGGGAAAGAGAATTGATAACATATTATATGATACTATGCAACTGAATGCAACCAACGAGACACGTATGACTTATATTAGGTAGTTGTAGATGTGCGTCCAGAGAAACTGTATCATTTCACATATTGAAACTTCTCTATTAGTGCAATCAACCCTCCAATATGGTTTAATATTTTGGGGTGCTTCACCTCACTTCGATAGAGCTTTCGTAGCTCAGAAGAAAGTCTTGAGAGCTATGTATAATGTGTCACCAATAACATCATGTAAACCACTTTTTGAAAAATCAGAGATTCTGACGTTACCTAGTCTTTTTATTTTTCACTTGATACTGTATGTCAAAGGAAATGAGGAAGCTTTTGGGTGTATGATAAATTGACATTCATCATACAGGGCGTGGAAATGAATTCTGAATTGAGACTCTATCACGAATCTTCGATTAGAGGAAGCTTTTGACAAAAATGGAGATATACATTCATATAACACAAGACAAAAATCAAATATCCATCAACCATTCTCACGGCTACACATAGGTCAACAGTCACCAAAGCACATTGGAATTAAGTGTTTCCATAAGATCAGTAACATAATGGTTCAGGCAGAAGGTCCACTCCTTTTTAACTTCTATAATGCATTTTATAGTGTTGAGGAATTCCTCGAATTTTAAAAAAAATGTGTGTACCTATTAATATTAATTATTGTCCTATATAATAATGTTCCTTTGAGATATAATTATTATTCTATATGACTAGTCTGATAGGATGGTGCATTGTACTATAATATCTTTGTCATATGTGTAATGTATAGTCCTCATAGATGAATAAAATTTTTTCTTCCTTTCTTTCTTTCCAGTCTATAGGATAGATACATTTCTATTGAAATGGCTTGTTTATTGATCTTTGTGAATAAGATTTCATATGACGTATAGTAGATAAAACCTCTTTGATTCGATTAGGTCTCAAAATTTTCCATTTCTCAAGGACGTAGGTATCCATATTCTGATTGCAAAATTTTGCTGACATTGATATTGTGCTTCACGTTTTTTGTCATGCTTAACATAAAATGAATTGCCCACATAGATGAGAGCTTCATTTTTACCTAGAGTTCTTAGAAATATGCGAGTACCTACCTAAAACATTCACTTCGATTTCACTTTCGTTCATATATTTCTCATACATTTTTAATGAAGAATTCTGATACAAACAAAAATTGTCTGAATGATTATGATTGAAACAAAATTCGAAAATGACAGTTCCTACAACTGACAGGTCGGACAGGACTAGAGATTCGTTTGAAAAACTCTGTTGCCATCGTGTGTCTAAGCAATTGTGCTGCCATATGGTAACGTGTTTAATATTTTGAATAAAAAACAGATCGCCAATTCGTGATTAATCGATTATTTACCGTGGTACATATCCGGACGCTAATAGTATATTATGTAACAAGTGTTATAAACGTCCTTTTAGTAACGAGTATCTTAAGCACGAGCGGAACAGAGCGGAACAGAGCGGAGCGAGTGTTTAATAAACGAGTGTCTAGAAGAGTTTATAAACGCGTTACATACTATTCTTTTTCTACGAACTCCGAAAATTACATTACCATGCCTGCTATTCCTGCTAACCTACAAAATAATTCGAGAGGAATGCGAATTGAGAACATAATACATGCAACTGCATGCAACCAGCGAGACACGTATAAGTGATATTGGATGTAGAAGTGTCCAGTCCATTGCTTACTTAGGTACCTTTGTTTCACGTTTATTGTCATGCCTAGCGCAGAATAAATAAATTGTTCTCAAAGATGGATGCTTCATTTTTATACTTTTTGGAGATATGCAAGTACCTCAACATTCTTTTCGATTTCACTTTCATGTACATTCCGCATATATTTTAAATGAAACACTCTGATACAACCGAATATTGTAAGAATAATTCTGATACAAAATTCGAAAATAACAGTTGACAGTTAATACAATTGACAGACATGTCTCAAATTACTGAAGCTGTGTTCAATGAACTGCGTTGCCATGGTAATGTGTTTAAGAAAACGTGTTGCCATGGTAACGTGTTTGATATTTCGAATAAATCACAGATCGACAATTCGTGATTAATCGATCATTTAGCGTGGTACATATCCGTACGCTAAATGCCATCTTAATTATGTGAGTAGAAACATGCCATTTTAGTTATATGAGTGTGTTCATTGCGAAGTTATTGATATCATATGTAGATAAATGATATGAATAATTCAGTTCTTGTTTGCTCTATGATAGGCAAAAACATAAATGCGTTATAATTATCAAATTTGAATGTGCATATCGCACCCTTGCGACAAAAGTGTCACAACTCAAAAATCTCCTAATTATAGTTAATACTACCAGCCGGTCCAAAACACCTCAATCCATCAACCATCATCAAAATTGTATCATGTCAGATTTCATGATGGCTCGCGAGATGGCGTTTGTGTCGTTTTTGACGATTCAGTACCGGTAAGTGTTATATTTTGAGTTATGATGGCACGGCATACTTCATATATCTATTTGAGTCAATTCTTTCTTTTGCATAAAAAATAGCATGTTCCATTCGAATCGAAAGTGATTTTGTTTGACAAGCGAATTTTGCATTTGCGAGGCGGAGCGCCTAGCGAAGCCGAGCGAAAGCTAAATTTGCGTGTCACTTTTGATCCTAATAAAACAATCTACTATTTTCAATTCTCATTCTTACCTATTTCTCAGTATTATCGCTGTATCATTGGGAGAATACATAACAAATAGGATAACGAAGACCAAACCAACCCCACATAATGTTCCAAATACTACCGAAACTGCATTATTTACATTTTCTTCACTATTATTATATGGCCCTGAAGCATACAAAGTGACATGGCTGGAACTATGATCTGAAAAAAATAGAAAAAATAAACCCGGTGATCCATTGACCCAAATCCAATGATCCATATCCAATGCACAGCTCTTTGTCATTTGAGAATATGATACACAGTGCTTTCGTAAAGTAGGTACTAACCCTAATAGCACACAACGTCCTAGGGACGTCCCTATTTGGTACAATTCAAGTCCGAATGTCCTGGACCACAAATAGGTGTCCTTGGGACGTCATCCCATCCCGTACATCTCATGCAATGTTCGAGCAAGGACGTCCACGGAATGTCCCAGCAGGTACATCATTTCAAATGTCCTAGAAATAGCATCCCTCAGACGTCCCACGTGGTACATATTGTGGAATGTCCATGCAAGGACGTCCTTGGCATGTCCCTGATGGGATATGATTTTAAACGTTCCTTTAGGGACATCCATCGGATGTTCCAGGTAGTACATATTCTGGCATGACCTCAGATCTTATATGATGTTGCTTCTAGACAACCATGAAATGTCCCTGATAGTACATTCATTCAAATATCTCGGCACAGACGCCCTTGATATTTCCAGGATCGTATAACAATCGAAATGTCCCTGAGGGATATCCGTCGGATGTCAAAATTGGTACATGAACTGTACTTATCCAATGTCTTTGAAATAACGTCCTACGGACGTCCCAGTCGGTACTTTCAATATGTTGTCGCTGCGAGGACGTTGACTTACAAACTCACCGACGAATGATAGCTCGTAGGCTATAAATACTCCTCGTCAATGTACTTCACGTAAGTCCATTGGTTATCCTTGGGAACCTTTTACTTAACATCCACTCAACTGGATGTCCTTATCAATTATGCAAGATCTGATCCTAGAGGGACCCAGAAAAATTCGAATTCAAGAATAATTCGTATGTCCCTGGGACATCCTATGGACATCCATTTGATATCCCTCAGCGTTGCTGATAGGTTATCTTACGGATGTTCTAAGGATGTCCTCCGTAGTGCTTGGTGAGGAATACTGTAGGATTCAGGTATTCGATAGTTGTCCCAGGGACACCCCTCAAGGACGTCCCTAGTTGGTCCTCAAGTGGGACATTTGTGCGTCCCACAGACGTCCGATGGACGTCTACGGTACCAAATTCGAACGTCCTATGGACGTCATGAATGTCCAGACAGGACGTACCTAGGATATCCATTGAACATAATTGTGTTATTGGGGTAAATACATTCATTTTCAGCCAAACTATCCATATCTGAGGAATCTTCTGCATCAGGCCGATTATTATCTCCAAAAGGAAAAGGTGAATATACAGGGTGATCCACATTTGAGTTGAATAAGTGAATTCAAGTATGTATCACGCCTATGATTTGTATAGGTACAGTATTTCGTTCTGAAAAATTGTCGCGATACTCATCTCAAATGTGGCAATTTGAAAATAAAAATCGACCCGCGTGTTTCAGGAGATTTCTCAAAAATGGATAGTTTGGCTGAAAATTGATATATTTAGTACTTTACGACATGGGCGTCATTTAAGGGGGGCAATTGCCCCCTCACCAGTGGTTTTCTACGAAAAATAACTTTACGATGAATCTTCCTGTATCAATGACACAAAACGGTACAATATACAAAATCAGGGAAGTAAATATCAGAATTTCTGAATTAATATAAAAACTGGCGCCTTCGGCAATTTGAAAATATCAAGAAGTTTTTTATCTAGCCCACGGACAATAGACTGATAGTTTCTGCATGGAATGAATGATATGAAAATATTGAAATTAATTAGGGAGAATCTCTGAATGATTTTGCAAAATTGAGAAATGAGTCAGTGTTCCTTGCTTGATTAAAATCATTCAACACTACTCAACCAATAATTTAAATGACTTCAACCTCATTCAGATATTTTTCGATTCATTCGTATTTAATTGAAGTTCCTCTATTTTCATTATCTCCCTAGATTAATAGAGATTTCCTCTCCAAGCTTCTAAAAATAAAAAATTGTATAATGAAACAAAAATGTTCCTGCGTTCCAAATAATATGTTACTTCCATAAAACTTGGAGACATCTATCACTAACAAACAGTCAGACTTTATCCTCATCACATTTATGGGTATTGAAATTAAATTCTCATTCAAAGAAACGAGAGGAGAAAATATAAAAAATTTGAAAAAATAAATATTTACTAGCTTGAAAAATGAATTTGAATAAAATGTGCTATGTGATATACTGATGTTGTCATTCTGGAAAAATTATAATTCGCAATTTGAAGGCATTTGACCTTGAACTCGAAAGAAAATCGCCTGTGGTGCGTTTTAGTACATGCTCAAATGTTCTCTGTTCCTTGCCTCGCCCCCCCTAGTATACACTGAAATGACGCACCTGCTTTACGAAAGCACTGTACAGGGTCATTCCGTATATTTAAACAGCTTCTACAGGGTTCATCATTGAAGATAGAGAAAAACTTCGAATGCAAAAGTTGTAGGGTTTGTTCTGAACCTCCAGAAAATTATACCAGATGAAACAAATGAATATCGCTGATATAAGAAATGGGTACCAACTTCGTTATTTTCAATGGAACACCCTATATATTTTTCGAAAAAATTCAAGATCTTTTCTTCCTGATTACAAAAATATATTGGTCATTGATATTTGGTTCAGCCGTTTTCGAGATATTCGAGGTTGAACATTTTAGATTTTACCAAATCGCAACTGCCATGAAAGAAAAAAAACGAGCTTTTATAACTGAAGGAGATGCAATTTCACAGATTTTCAATGTGACCACCGTTGTTTTGTATACATTTTCTGTAGTCTTTATTCAATTTATTTATCGAATTGCAAATGAAGTTGGAGTGATGATTGTTCAATATGTTAATGCATTCCAAAATTCTTCCTCTCAAATCAGCCAAATTTCTACTTCTTTCCTTATACACTTCATTCTTCAAATAGCCCCATAGGAAGTTATCTGAAGGTGTTAAATCTGGACTGTTCGGCGGCCATTCCACTGTTCCAAATTTTCCGATCCACGTTTGATAACGATCATTCAAGTGATGCCGTACGGGCATAACTTGATGAGGTAGCGCGCCATCCTGATGCCAGATCAATTCATTATACTGCCTGAATGGGAGGTTTTCCAACAGATCTTCAATTTCATTGTTTAAAAACTGTAAATACCTATCTCCTGCTAAAGAACCCTCAAAGAAAATTGGTCCAATCACTTGGTTTTTCAAAATACCGAACCAGACATTGAGGGATTTGCGACCCTGGTGCTGAATCTCTTCGTATCCATGTGGATTATGAGTTGACCAGATATGGGTGTTTTTTCGATTATAAACACCAGCGGTGGTAAACGATGCCTCGTCAGTCCATAAAACCTTCTTAAAAAAATCATTATCCTCGCTTTTCGCAGCATCATTTCTGTGCAATATGCTTGTCTTACAATTTTATGATTGTCTGTAATAAGCTTTTGCACTGGCATAATTTTGAATAGGTGATATCCGTGTTTATGTAGAACAATTAAAAAATTTTTAGTACTTTTGCCAATATGATTAGATGCATCCGTAGTGGAATAAGTGGGAATTTCTGAAAATAATTATATTTTTCATGAACACAAATATTTACTTCATGAGTAATTCAATGTTTGTTCTACCTTGGAAATAAAGCAATATTATCAATTCTCCATCTTCATCAGCAATGACAGTGCGTTTTTTTCTTTGAAGATTTTCTCGTTCTCTCATACTCAGTGAAATAAAACGTACTTCTGGAAGGAACTGGCATTCCAGGATGAATACGTTGATACTCCGCTCGAGCTTCCAGTGCATCATTATTATTTTTGTAGAATAAACGAATCATTTCAAACTTTTCATCTTCACTGAAACCCATATTTCTTCCGAAATTCTATGCAATGAACATAATATGACAGAACGTTTTATTGTTGACAACTTGCGTATGTGTTGTTTTTTCTTCATGACAATTGCGATTTGGTGAAATCAAATCAAAACTAAATCTAAAATGTTCAACCTCGAATATCTCGAAAACGGCTGAACCAAATATCAATGACCAATATATTTTTGGAATCAGGAAGAAAAGATCTTGAATTTTTTCGAAAAATGTATAGGGTGTTCCATTGAAAATAACGAAGTTGGTCCCCATTTCTTATATCAGCGATATTCATTTGTTTCATCTGGTATAATTTTCTGGAGGATTAGGACATACCAAACAACTTTTGCATTCGAAGTTTTTCTCTATCTTCAATTATGAACCCTGTAGAAGCTGTTCAAATATACGGAATGACCCTGTACGATAAAATTGATGTCCGAGTCGTTGAAGATAAATCAAAATGTAGACTCACATAAATCAGATTATTTGCCCAAAAATTAAACTACCTAAGTTTGAAAATATACCAATCAGAGAACCTAAAAGAAATATTGATTCGACAGTGGGGGACACCTTGTTTGACAAATCTTCCGATTGGATTTCTCTCTTAGGTTTCTGAAAGTGGAATTTTGAGCAGTGACACTTTAGCGCAAAACATCTGATTTGTTCTTACTACAAGTATATTGAAGTATAGTTGTACTGATATCGTTAGTTATAGAAACAAAGAGAGGAATTCCCAAAAATTCAAAGAACATCAACATTTTATTAGGTTTTCTGTTCATCAAAATCGGATATTTTAATCGAAATGTAGACTCACATAAAGTCATCATCAAAACCAGATGACGATATGTAGTGGGAATAAATCAGATTATTTGCCCCAAAATGTCACTACCTACGTTTGAAAATATGCCTATCAGAGAACCTAGAAGGAAACTTAACTCGACCGTGGAGAGAAATTCCCAAAAATTTAAAGAAATTCAACAATATATTGAGTTTTCATCAAAATCGGACAAAAAATAGATCGACGAGCTATATGGCTTGTGCGTTTTTTATCTGCCATCCTGAATATCAAATTAAGTATATCTACTCACCTAATTTTATTTGTTCATATAATTGCTTAGCTTCATCCAAACTGTTACCGGTGAATTCTTTTTCAGCAAATATGATTTGCAAAAATTCATTTCCGCTATCATTTCGCACTTTACTGATGTATGTGTCCGATGTGAATTGCTTGAGAGTTCTCTCCATTTCTGCGAGTTCGAAATTTCTTGGAGGTATGACCACAATGCTTGCTCCTGAAATATATGAATATCTATACAGGCTGTCCCAGAATAACGTTCGTATACTCCGGATATTTTCCAATCAACATGTGTCCGAAAATACTTCCTATAAGAGCGCTAGAGCCTCGGCAAGAGCCCCTTGAGGGTTGGTCCCCAATTGCAGTTTTCTTAAATTATCTTTGTTATCACTGATCCTAGAATCACGGAATTCTGTATCTATGAAGGTGATTCGATCCTACAAATCGATTCGTGGTACAGTATGGAATACATGATTTAATATAACGAGAGGTGCGAAAACCATTTTACGTAAAATAGGTATTCTTGTTAGAATTATGTAAAACGAACCGTTTTCGAGAAAAGGATGATTTTTCATTTTGTTGTCCATAAAAGTTCACCTAGTGAGGTTGGTGAAATTCAGTCATTTTGCATTTGCGGATATTTTCTCAACAATCAACATCACGATGAACTCTAATGAAACAGAAATAACTGGAACTGTAGAATTTCAATTATCAAGTTCGAATTTCTTTATCATAAGAGCAGACGCTCAAAATCTTTGTGAATTTTTACGGACATCATCAAAATGAAAAATGACAATTCTCTCTAAAATGGCAACAAGAACACCATTTTCATGTGAAAGTTTTTGAAGGATCATATTTTGGTAGTTGGGTTAGGTTAAGGTTAGGTTAACACGGTGGTCCGTGGTGGAACACACGTAGGCCAGAGGCCTGTTGTGATGCCGTATGGGGTGAGTACCACCCCCACTACTACCGTGGCAACCAGTAGCTGCTGTGAATGAACAGCATGAGGCTATGAGGCTTTTGATACCAACCATCTGAAGGATGGGTTGTCAAAATAGGGCTGCCCGAGAGCAGAAGATCTTTTCCTGGATAGGGCATGGCAATGACAGAGTAAGTAGACCATCGTCTCTTCTTCCTGCTCGTCTCGACAGGTTCTATAGAAGTCATTACGTTGTAGGATTTCCATATGTGCAGCATGCCATCCCCCAAGCCAGTGTCCAGTGATGGCCGCAATCGCGTTTCCAATGGAGCTCTTGGAAAGAGATAAAATATCTTCAGTGCGTCTCAGGTTGAGCTTCGGCCACACCTGTCTAGACGAGGTGCAAGAGGGCTTCTCCCGCCACCTAGGGTTGGTTAGGCGGAGTACTTCCTTCCGGAGGAGCAACCTCCGTTCAGCGATAGGTGCCCCTGGTCTACTATTAGCGGATATAGCTGTGAGCGTCGTACCAGCTCTTGCTAACTCGTCCACCATACAATTGCCTGCTATGTCCCTGTAGCCGGGTACCAGACAACATTGACTCTTACTCTAGTCGACACGTCATCTAAGGCTTAACGGCATTGAGGTCAGGTAGACTGAGTTTAGAGACTTAATCGCAGCTTGACTGTCACTTAGAATAGATATTTCATTGGACTCAAGTCCGGTTTGAAGTACCCAATTGGCTGTTTCATTTACAGCTACCATTTCGGCCTGGAAAACACTGCAGTAGTCTGGTAAGCGAAACGATAGGTTGAGGGGTGGGCACTCTGAGAAGACTCCACTCAATTCCTACTATCCCCTCTAGTTTTGAGCCATCTGTATAAGAGAGCGTCCCATATTTTTCTCTGGACGGAATGTCCACCGAGAACTGCGGTCGAACATCGGGGTGGGTTTCGTGTAGTCTGTGTTATTTAAGGTGAGATTGAATTATTTCAAAATTTTGGAGTGGCCGTAGTTTTCCTTAGGCCATGGTGAGACTGCATTAAGTCTGAGAGCAGCGCTAGCCGTGCATTCTTTTCCATATAGGTCCAAGAGGGTCAGATGTCGGGGTTGTCCTAGGACACCCCGTCATGAGAACGGCAGCTAGTCGTTGTACCTTTTCCACCCTTTTCCGGTTGACCTCCTTACATAGGGCTGGCCACCATACTAATGATCCATACATGAGTGTGGGTCTTACGACCGCCGTGTATAACCAATGGACAATGCTGGGTCTCAACCCCCATTGTTTGCCAATGGTTCTTCTGCAGGTTCTCTCTATGTTTTCTCTCCGCAACAGCTTTCGGTCAAGGACAAGTCCTAGTTACCTAGCTCGTTCGGAGAGTTTTATTTATTGGTCCCCTATACTGGAAAGGCGAAAGGAGAGTATTTAATGTTTACTCGTGAAGAGAACTAACTCCGTTATGCCTGGATTTATACTTAGGCCAAATTTGTTGCACCAGTGCACGAGTTCATTTAGTGCCTCCTGCATGACATTCGACAAAGTCTCTGGAAATTTTCCAGAAATCATAATCGCATAGGCCACAATTTTTATTCCTAGCCTTTCCATTCTCTGGAGAAAGCCGTTACGGGTAAGGGTCCACAGTAGGGGTGAAAGCATTCCCCCCTGCGGAGTCCCCCTGTTGACCACTCTCTGTATCTGACAGCCAGAGATCTCTGCGTGAGTCTTTCTGCTGCAGAGCATGTGGTTGACAAACTCAACGATTGGCTTGTCGATTCTCAAGTTTTCCATTTCCCCTGTAACAGCACTGGGGATTATATTGTTGAACTCCCCCTCAATGTCTGAGAAGGCTATCAGTGAGTATTCGTTGCAGCTTGAAGAAATTTCAACTTCCAGTACTAGCATGCTGGGATTGGAAAAGTATTCCCTCCTCTAAAAGTGAATCTCTTATACAGGGTGTTCCGGTGATCATGTTACAAACTTCTAGGGTAGATAAAACACACGAAAATAAGAAAAAAAGTTCATGTGAACATGGGTCCGGAAACGCTTCTTCAGGGTGATAGGGCCCTTCGAAGATGACCTTCAAAAACTACTTTTCGTTTTATAGCTTCGGTACTACTGCAGCTATCGCAACCAATTTTGGGACATGAAATCTAGTTCGTAGGTTCATCAATTTGAGCCTTCCGGATTTTGTCACCTTTAACCAGGGGCGTACAAACCAGGGGGGTATTTGGGTAAATTTGACCCTACTCCTCTTAGGCTTCAATATCTTATCATTTTTATATCTGATTATTGTATGATATCGCTTATATTATAGTTCTTAGGATCCTCTATATATTATAGTGTTGTTCTATTATTAGTATATTGTTGTCATGGTCATGCAGATATTATATATTGTCATCTTGATAGTGACAGCTAGTCAGTTAAAGGGAATTAAAGTTGTATACTTTCTACTGGTTGTTTATTCTATCCATCACGAATAGGATTACCAAAGTAATACATGGTGTCAGGTAAACGTTGATGGTCGGAAGAAGAACCAATCTAGTAGATATTTTTGACCAGTTGATTCAAGAGAGGCATCATGGAAGCAATTTTCAAGCCGCCAGAACCGTTGCAGCTTGATGGCAACATTTCGGAAAATTGGCGGAAGTTCAGCCAGAAATTTGATTTATTCATGACAGCCACAGACCTAGAAGCGAAAGAAGAACCCAAGAAGCTAGCCGTGTTCCTAAACTTAATTGGAGAAGATGCTCTAGAACTGTATAATACATTTGCTTTCAGTACAGAACAAGAAAGAACGTTGAAGTTAGTCAAGTTCAAATTCAATGAGTACTGTTCTCCAAAGAAGAATGTTATTTTTGAGCGCTTCATATTCAATAGTATCTGCCAAGAAGAGGGACAACCATTTGATGTTTTCGTTACGGAACTGAGAAAAGCAGTGAAAACTACAGAATATGCCCAGCAGGATGAAATGATCAGGGACCGCGTAGTTATGGGAATACATAATAAAACAACTCAAGAAAAACTGTTGAGAGAACCAGACTTGACTTTGACAAAAGCAATAGATATCTGCCGTGCAATTGAAGTGAGCAAGGATCAGTCTAAAGCTTTACAAAATGAATCACTTGTCCATGAGCTGAAAAAGTTGGGCAAAAGCACCTGCATATACTGTGGTTATATTCATAGGTACCAGAAATGTCCTGCTAGGGGTAAAAACCTGTGTCAAGTGTCAACGCCGCAACCATTTTGCCAGTGTTTGCAAGGAAGAAGGAAAAAATGAGGGTCAAAATACCAAAGAGGAATCCCAGAGTTGGAAAAAAGGAAAAGAGAATAAGATGAAGAAAAAAATTGATGAAGTAGAAAAATCTATAGAGGAAGATAGCGAAACCAACAGTGATAGTAATAAGAGTAGTGAATATGAGTTTTATGTAAGTTCAGTCGGTAAGTCTAGTAGTAAACAAAATACTTGTCATGAGGAAACAATGTGGACAACGATTGTGCATGTCAATAATCAACCTATTTTGTTTAAATTAGATACAGGGGCGGAGGTGAGTACCTTACCTCTGAGCTCACTCAAACAGGTTGCTCCTGAAGCACAAATTAGTAAAACAAATATTTCCCTAGTTCCCTATGGAGGCTCTACTAGCAAGATAACATGTATAGGGGAGGTAAGCTTGAGTTGTAGCATAAAAAACAGATATAAAGCTATAAGATTTGTAATAGTCGAGACTGAAAATCAACTACCTTTACTAGGACTTCAGGAATGTAAGGATTTATGTTTAGTGAAACGTATAGATACTATAGAAAATGTTAAATTTCTATCTTTAGAAGATGTTGTTGGAAAATACTCAAGCGTATTTGAAGGTTTAGGCAAATTTTCCTCACAGCATCATATTACTTTGAAAGATAATGTCATACCCCATGTGAGTGCTATTCGAAGGGTACCTCATGTGTTACATGAGCGCTTAAAAATAAAATTGCATGATCTTGAAATCAAAGGAATTATAAAAAAAATTGATAAACCCTCTGAATGGGTTCATCCATTAGTTATAGTAGAAGAACCCAATGGTGACCTAAGACTCTGCCTTGATCCTAAGGAGTTAAATCAAGCCGTTAAACGAGAGCACTTTCTGATACCGTCTGTAGATGAGATTGCTGCTAAACTCAGCAGTAAACAGTATTTCACAGTATTAGACATGAAAGATGGATACTGGCAGATTGAATTAGATAATGAAAGTGCCAATTTGATGACATTTGGGACACCATTTGGGAGGTACCAATTCACCAGAATGGCTTTTGGATT